ATTCCATCCCTGTATTTTGCTCTTGTTTAGATTTGCTAGTCTTGAGGACAAGTGTGTGTGTGTGTGTGTGTGTGTGTGTGTGTGTGTGTGTGTGTGTGTGTGTGTGTGTGTGTGTGTTCAGGCTTGGATGTAGGGCCTCGGTGCTGTCCCTGAGCTTTTTTTGCTCAAGGCAAAAGCAGACCTGGCTCCACTTCTAGCTTTTTCATGGTTAATTGGAGACTTTATTCTCATGGACTTGCCTGCCTGGGCTAGCTTCAAACTGCGATCTCAGCTTCCTGAGTAGCTAAAATTACAGGCATGAGCCACAAACTTCCAGCAGGCAAGCCTTTTTAATATTCAGTCTGGCATTGACCTGTGTGTCTGGTATTGATGGTGTGCTGGTGGGCACAGGACAGACTTAGCCCTGCCTTTGCAGGCCAGTCCTGACAATAGTTGGCATGAATCACACAAGAGAGACTAAGACAAATTAGGGCAACTAGTATCAAAGAAATAAAGGGCAATATATGAACCTGCAGAAGGGATCTGGGGAGATATTTTCCAGGAAAAAAAATCATTATGACTGAGTAGAAGTAAAATAGGCAGAGGATAGCAGTGCTCCCAGGTGGTAAGGGGTGGAGATGTGCAACCCTTAAGGAGTGGAAAGTGGAGAGGGCTAAAGAGGGCGGGAAGAGGGAGGGAGAAGGAGCAGGAACTGTGCTGAATCCTCTGCTGTAGAACACAGATCTAGGCAGCTTTCCATTGCTGTGACAGAATACCCTTAGGTAGCCACATTAACCAGGCAAAAGGTTAATTTTGGCTTATGCTTTTAGAGATTTTGGCCCACAGTCACTTGGCTCTGTGGAAGCACAGACTTTGGGCCTGTGTACATGTCACGGAGGAACTTGGGGCCAGTGAGGTCTGCTTACCTCATGGTAGCAATGGCAGAGAGAGACAGAGAGACAGAGAGATAGAGGGAGGAAAGAGAGAGGGGGAGGAGAGAGGACAGAGAGGGGGGGAGGGGAAGGGGGGAAGGCCTGAGGCCAGTATTTCCTCCACAGGCTCATTCTCAGTGACCTTACCTCCTACCTCCAACTGCTAGCTAGCCTTGGGCAAATTACTTGACCCCAGACCACTTCCATTCTACATTGCCAGTAAGGTTTCTGAGGATGAAATGATAGGCAGAAAAGTGCCCAACACCCAGGTATTGTCAGATGAGCTCCTCAAGCTTTGTCCCTGATGTAAATGTATACACACAGATGCATAGTGATGAGAGCCCGGGGGCGGGACTTCCTCCTGCCTTACTACAGTGGCCTGGTCACCTGATATGCTTCGTTGCTGAGGGACATGGTATTGCTGCCGGGAAACCAAGGGCCACTTATTAGATCACCTTTGCCGACCTGGCTGCTGGCTGCTGGCTGCTGTGAGGTCCTTCTGGAGCTGCCTCAGCCATCTGCCACCCTCAAACCAAGAACCGTGCTCTGGTACCACAGTGAGTAGCAACTGCCCTGCTGCCAGTCTGGGAAATACAGCAACAGGGACTCTGTATAGTCAGGAGAAATGGCTTCTTGCACACTGAACTGTTGTGCTACGGTTTAGGAGGGCATTTAACTGCCCCAAGCTTCAGTTTCCCACCTGCCACCCATAAGCGTAGAGGAGTTTCAGTGAGGTGAAGTGCTCAGTGCTTGCATCCAGTGAGGCTGGGCACCCTTACCTCTTGTGGAAGAGGAGGGACTCGAGGTCTTGTCCTTGTTCGATGTGAACAATAAGCTCTCCCACTTTCCAGGTATTTCTGAAGGGACTGGCCTTGTGCCCACCTATGTTAGCGCGCACGTGGCTTGGCTAGCGCTCACCTACCTCTGTCAGCACACACGTGGGCTCAGCACCCACGACACCATGATGATGATGCTGGCAAGGCTGTTTTCACTCAGGATGACTGTGGGGACAGGGTGAGAGCAGTGAAAGGCTGGGGATCACCGTGCATTTCCAGTTCCATTAACCCCAGGCCATATTCAGCCTGTTCAAGCATGACTGGTCTTGGTGACCCCATAGCTATGCCCCTCTGCCATTTTGGAGGAAGGGAAGTTTAGGCAGAAGCAATGGGAGCAGAGAGTTAGAACTCGTGTTTTCTCTCAGGCAGCAGCAGTAGTTTCCTATCATAAAAGGATTCTCAGCAGAAGGCAGACTCTTTATTACACTCAGCAGCTCACTCACCATGGGAGTTAAGCCCTTCCAGTGCCCATGTTGTTTGGCTGATTATCTCTGTCTCAGGCTATCAGAAAGATTTAGCTCCTGGTCACATTTTTTACTGCTGGGTGGCCTTTAAAGGAGTTTCCTTCTCCCAGGGAATTTGTATTTAAAGTGGGGCCGCAGCTCTGCTGAACCCTGGGTATCTGCCCAGTGTGCATGTCAAGAAGGCTTTGCTCACACTCTGAGACCTGGGGCCAGTTATGCCTGCAAAAGAATCCTGGGACATACTAAAGAGACCCTTAGGGAGTGTAGGCTACTGCAGGAAATCAGAGGCTAACGGTGGGCACTGAGGATATATAGAGAAGAGATGTACCTGAGATTCACCTGTGTGCCTTATCTGTGAGCCAACATCATATTACAGGTAATGCACTATACTGACCAGGGCTGTAAGAATGTGTGTCCTGGTGGGTCTGGACTCTGGATGTGGTGGGCATGGTTACTGAGCTGGCTGGGAGGGCTATGAAGGAAAGGGAACACTCAAACAAAAATGGGCCTCATAGATGAAGATTCTCCGGTCAAACTCCCTAAGCTCACCAGTGTGTGGAATCGGGATGATTCAGCCTTTCTGAGCAGCACCTCATAATTTCTATCTTTCAGGGGTCAGAGGGCAGTCAGTCTTCCTAGAGCATAGGAAAGAGACCATATCAAAGTGGTCACCAACACCTATCAGTGATGGCCCACACCCCTCTAAGATAGTGAACTGACATTATGGGTACTTGGTAGGGACACAGAGATCCAGAAGGCCAAGGTAACTGGTCAAGACCCCACAGGTGATGACTCAGGCAGACAAAGATTTCTTCTGCTGTCCATGGCGTAAGTGCCCCAGCTCACTAAGAACAAAGAGAGGGGACAGATATGTATTTCACATGGTTCAAGAACATATGGTCTGGTAGACTGGCCAGATATCACCTCTCTGCTCCAGGAAGATCTGTGCTTCCCAGCAGGGCCTCTCATCACCAGGTCTGGATACCCTGCTTCCTTCTAGCCCTAAGAACATTTGGCTAATTCTCAGGAAGTTTCCCGAGTAGCTGTGGCCCCATGGAGTGGCCAATATACCAGGAATAGTGCGGGATTCTGGGCTGAAGGTCTCAGGGGGGATAAGTTGTCTAGTAAGGCAATTCTGTAGTAATAACATGCACACCATGGTCAGAAAGGACCCAGCACTTCAGAGAGTGTTGAAGACAGGGGAACTGATATCTATAGAGCATTTATATCAGACTATGCACTGCTACCAGCTTCATTCTATGAGAACTAAAGTTGATCTCAAAGTAGAGAGTTGAATGGTGGTTATCAGAGCCCAAGAAGAGTTTGGAGAAGAGAAGGATGGAGAGGGGATGATGAACAGATATGAGTACAATTAGATAGGGAACGTTTTTAATATTCTATAGCATTATAGGATAGTAACTGTGGTTGAAAACCATATTATAAACCATAAATGTGTATATTTACCATTTGTCAATTGGAAATATACTAGTTAAAGTACCTCTGGATGTTTGTAATGTCCCCGTGAGGACTGTAGTGACAGCATTTATGTCTGACAAATGAGGGAACCAGCATAGAGAGGCAGCAATGCTTCACAAGGCACTATGCCTGCTCACTTAAGCCTGAGCCCTGCACACTTCCAGCCAGGCAGCCACAGACTGCACCTGAATGTAGCTCACTGTCTACACTGTCTATCTGTTGGTTATACTGCCCAGCAGCCTGCCTCCACTTAACTCTTCTTATCTCCCTCCTCTCCCTACCAGACCCTATGAGGTCCTTGCCTGCCAGGCCTACTTTCCTAGTGGCAAAAAGAAATTAATACCATAGAAAACACGCAGGTGCTGGTGGCTCACACCTGTAATCCCAGTACCTGGGAAGTTGAGATGCGGATCACAGTTTTAAGCCAAAAGGCTTAAAACTAGACAAAAAACTAGACACAAAAGGCTTTTTGTGACCCCTTTTCAACAGGAAAAACTTAAGAAACCCAAGGCCTGGTGTTGTGTGACTATCATTGCAGCCATGATGGAAAACATGAAACAGGAGAGGAGAGGTGTTATCTATTAGCCTGGGTAAAAACCAAACCTCTATCTCAAGAACAACCAGAATGAAAAGGGCTGGAGGCTGGTCTCAAGTGGTAGAGCACCTGCCTAGGAAAGGTAAAGCAAGGCATCAGCTGAGATTCTGTGGCCAGTGTGTCTCCAGATGGAGGCCTGTGTAGAAGGGGAGTGGGAGAAACACGTGCTCATGCACATAACCCTCCCACACATGCACAAAACATCCAAGAGTCTCTGGGCAAGAATGTAAATGACTCCAAGCTCCTGTGGCTGGCCTTCTTTCCAGAGTGCCCAGCAGGCCAGTTGTCCGGTGCTCCCCCCCAGCAGCTCAGTTACCAGGTGCATCCACAGGTGTGCCCCCAGCAGGCCAGTTACCAGGTGTGCCCCCCAACACAGCAATCCTGGTTCCCTTCCATGCGACAGCCCAGATCCCAGTCCATACAACAAGCACTCATTGTACGTTGACTGCAGGCCAATCACACAGCCGTGGAGGACATCAGCAAGGCCTTGACATCCCCTATGCCTGTGTGAAGGACTTACCACTATACATACCCCTACCCTGCAGTTGCAGAGTGAACCTGGTAGGAGCTACATTTTAAATCATTGTTCTTATCTTGAAGGCCTGCTCTAGACCAGCACCTGTGCAGAGAAGCAGCGCAGAGCCCGAGGGACAGAGCAGCACTCTGGTTGGCACAGAACTATCACTTTGAACACAGCTGGCTGTGGCTGCCAGGGAGCATGAGGGATGAGCTGGCACCCTGTCCACTGGCTACTACAGCCTGGCAAGCTCCTGTTCCACAAATCGGCAAGATACTCTGCATGTCCCAGACAGCCAGAAATGTGTCCCAGGACTCGAGGGACCTTGGGGTGCCTACATCTGTGCTGCGCTGGTTCCTGCTCCCCTCCAGCCTGCTGGCTGCAGCCACATTTGCCCTGAGCCCCCTGCTGCTGGTGGCCATCCTAAGGAACCAGCGGCTGCGGCACCAGCCCCACTACCTGCTGCTGGCCAATATCCTGCTGTCAGACCTAGTCTATGTCCTCTTCCACACGTTCATCTCCTCCAGCAACCTGGGGGGCTGGGAGCTGGGCCGCATCGTCTGTGGTATTCTCCGGGATGGCGTCTTCACGGCCTGCACCAGCACCATCCTGTCCTTCACAGCCGTTGTACTGCACACCTATCTGGCTGTCACCCATCCCCTGCGCTACCTCTCCTTCATATCTGGCAGGGCTGCCCGGAAGACAGTGGCTCTCATCTGGCTGGTGGCCTGTTTCTTTCCCACTTTTCTCCTTTGGCTTGGGAAGCAGCAGGCCACCAAGCTGGAGGTGCAAGGGGCTGTCTGCATCCTACCACTGGGCCTGGGCACAGAGCAGAGCCATGGGGCCTTGGTGGCTGCCACTCACACCTGCATCCTTTGTGTTCTCTTTCTCTGTGCAGTACTTGTCACCTACTGCTTCTGGAGGATCTATGCAGAGGCCAGGCCCTCGGGCAGCTGCGTGCAGGGCTGTTCTCGAGCCCGGGGCACCCTGCTGATCCACATGGTGCTGATCACATTGTACGTAGGCACAGGGGTGCTGTTCTGTATGGATGTCATGCTGAACAAGTACCATCTCATCACTACCAGCACGTACGTGTGGCTGCTGGCAGCCAACAGCCACTTGCTCATGATGCTTCCCCGAGCCCTGCTGCCATACCTGTACATGCTACGCTACCGCCAGCTGCTGGGGGTGGTACGTGGCCACTTCTCACCCCGCAGGCGTGGGGACATCTACACCATCTCCCACCACCTGGGAGGCTGAGTGGAAGGCTACGTGTGGAATGCAGCACAGACTTCACAGACAACACTGACCAACTAGACATAAAGCCTAACAAAAGGGGGCAGCAAGGGAGCCTACTGCCTGGACACTCACCTCAAGCCAGAAGGAAGACATTGCCTTGAAGATTCTTGAGTAGACTTTATCGTTCAGGCAAGTGTTGAGTGAGATTTTAAACTATTTTAGTGGTCACAAAAATCTCTTGTTATTGGTGTGGGTCTCCTGGAGGATCTGAACTTCAACTCAGAATTCACAGGACAACAAGCCCCAAGCAAGAAGCGTATATAGTGACTCAAAACTCACAATCTGCACAGAGAAGTCAGCCACGGTGTAGAAAAGAGCAAACACGAACGACAAGACCACATTTCACACTGCATGGAATTCCTTGGATCTCAGATGTTAAGTTAATATAATAGAGCTCAGCATGTGATACTAAAATAGATAGAGAATGCAACATACTGAAAAGGAACCTAGCAGCTGGGAGCTGGTGGCTCACACCTGTAATCCTAGCTACTCAAGAGGTTGAGATCTGAGGATCATGGTTCGAAGCCAGCCCAGGCATAAAAGTCTGTGAGACTCTTATCTCCAATAAACTGCTCAGAATAAAGCCAGAAGGGGTGTTGTGGCTTAAGTGGTAGAATGCTAGCCTTGAACACAGAGGCTCAAGGACAGCACCCTGACCCAGAGGTCCAAGAACTGGCAAAAAGAAAAAAAGAAGTGACCTAGAAGATTTGGAAAATATTCAAATAGAACTTAAGTAAGTATAAGAAGTATAATAATGGCAATTATAAATAAGTTGGACTAAATATAGATTAATAGAATATTAGACACAAGCGGAGAAGTATAATAATGGCAATTATAAATAAGTTGGACTAAATATAGATTAATAGAATATTAGACACAAGCGGAGAAGTATAATAATGGCAATTATAAATAAGTTGGACTAAATATAGATTAATAGAATATTAGACACAAGCGGAGAAGTATAATAATGGCAATTATAAATAAGTTGGACTAAATATAGATTAATAGAATATTAGACACAAGCGGAGAGGGAATTTGCAAATTGTGATCCGATGAATTCTTGAAAATGCAGCCAGAAGGACAGAGAGGTAAACAATGTAAAAGAAGGACTAAGAAATGGTGAATGGAAAAAATGTAATACACACCTAATTTGGAAACATAATAAAGAAAATATTGGGAAGAAGAGAATATGAAGGATATTGGGTATTGGAATCTTGAAAGAGACAACAGCTATTAATTTTTTTGAGAATTGTTGGAAATCATAAAACAACAAGAAATTGAACTAGTTGCAAATAAGATAAATGACAAATAATGTACCATAGGTACACTGTGTAAAACTAAAGAAAAGCAAAAACAAACAAGACATCTATGGCAGGCAGGCATAAAAGATAAAGGATTCCCATCATCAGATGTCTGAGGTGTGAGGGTTGTGAGTTTAGGGCCAGCTTTGGCTACATAGAGAGACCCCACTTAGATTAAAAAAAAGAAAGGAAAGAAAAGACAAAGCCTAGCCATTAACCTGACAGTAACTTCCTAAAAACACTGGGAGCCTGACACAATGGGAAAAATGCCGTCCATACACTAAGAGAAAATAATTACTGACCTAGAACATTCCATACAGAAAACAATTTTTCTCAGTTACAAAACCCAGACAGTGACAGAGTACAAAAGCTTCCAAGGCAATATTCCTAACAATACATGTGCAACGAATTTTACAGGATGGGTTTCTGGCTTAAGGAAATTTATTCCAGATAGAAACTCTGACGTGTGTGCAGAAGTCATGGGATGGAAAGTATGCACACAGATCAAACAACCCCTGTCAGGTTGGCTGAATGAAAAGAATGGAAATGTTCAACTAGGCAGTTTGGGAGACAAGATTCCCTGCAAATATAGTGTATACATTGAAGGCTATAACTCTACCTAAAGCACTCTAGTTCTAACAAAGACAGAAATAGTAACTTAAAACTGTTCAATGTGGACATTAAAATGTTTAGATAGCCACTAATAGACTAGATAAAAATGAGACAGTTTCCTAAACTATCTAAGAACTAAGTGGAATAAGTAAGAGCAAATATCATCTAAAAGAAAGGGAAAAAGTATAGAAAAGTCGGGGCAAAAGAAACTATAAAATAAAAGGGTTGAATCAAAGTAACAAATTTAAGTGGATTAAAATTTGACTGTGAGAAGATAAATGTTATCAATTTTTTTTCTGTCTGTGACTGTAACATTAGGTTATTTTTTAATTGTGAAAATACCGTACAGAGGGGTTACAATTACATGGGCAAGGTAATGAGTATATTTCTTATCAAGCATTGTTGCCTCCTCCTTTGTTTCCCCTTCCCAACCCTTCCCATCCATCTCCCCCTCCCCAGCCAAAGTTGTAAAGTTCGTTTTTGACATAATGGCTTGTACATTTCATTGTTGCAATGGGTCCACCTGTATCCTTATTTAAACGATTTGTTTTTTTTTTCCCCTCCCCTCCACAAATTATACCAACATCAAATACAATGAAAGCAGGGGTTATACCGTGGGGGAATGTTATCAATTTTTTAAAATGAAATATGTCATCTATAATGTATTACCCTAAACAAATGACAGAGAATAGTTGGAAGTGAAAAAACAATCATTTGAAAGTGCAGAAAAAAATAGAGAAAGTAAATATTCATTAAATGAAAGCTTACCGGAGAGACAAAGTAAACTTTGAAGCAAAGCATCACCAGAGTAAAAAGGGCCATTTCACAGGTGGAAGGTTCAATTTATCAAAACACAGAAAATTTGCAAAGCAAAATTTCATCCAATTTTTGACAGACTAAACCTATAAAAAGAAAGATTAAATAAGAACAAAGTTTTGAGCAATACAATTCACAAACTTAGTGAATATGTAAGATATAATACTTGACAGTATATTTAAGCCTGTCTAGAAATAAAAATTATTATTTTTAGTGCTGGTACTGAGGCTTGATCTCAGGGCCGGGCCTTTAGCTGTTTGCACTCAAGGCTGGTGCTCTACCACTTGAGCCACAGCTCCACTTCTGGCTTCTTGCTGGCTAATAGGAGAGAAGAATTTCACAAACTTTTCTGCTTGGGATGGCTTCTAACTGCAATTCTCAGATCTCATCCTCCTGTGTAGCTAGTATTATAGACCCGCACCTGGCAGAAATACACATTATTAAGGAAATTGGTAGTATGCTACCCCATAAAGCACGTTTAAGTTTCAAAAATTGATTCCCATATCAGTCATTGGATCTAATTAGGTTACCAAAAAAAACCCCAAAAAGATAATTACATAAAACATATTCTAAAATTTAAAAATAACATTTTGTGTCACACATAGGTCAAATACTAATTAATAAGGGAAATCAGAAAATATTTAGAATTGAATATTAATGAGTTATACATCACAATGTGTGCTTTGTAGCCAGAAGAATTTAGAGGAAATGCAATTTATTGTTCACATGTGTTCTATACTAGAGGGAAAAATGCCCTAATACAAAAGAATATGACATAAATGAAGGCACTAGGAAATGGGCCTTGATATATATTAGTTAACTATTAGTTAGCTCGTATGAGTGTGGTAGGTGTGATGAAGTTATGCATCCTATGAGGATCTCAGTAAGGAAGAGTTGGTATAAGCTACCTGAGTTGGTCCAGAGCAATAACAATGACCTTGAGAGGAAAAGGAGGAGTCAAGGGGTTTGTGTGTGTGTGCGAGAGAGAAAAAGAGAGGGCTGACAGCCTCCATGCAGTGAAAATACCAGGCAAACAGACTCTCCTCTGGCCGCATGCTTAGATAACTCAGGAAAACCCATCTTTTACTTCTGACCTTCAGAGCTATGTTATAATACATTTCTGTTATCTTAAGCTACTAAAGTTTTGCTAATTTGTTATAGAAGCAAGACACAAATCCAGTGAGCTTTCTTTGGCTGCTTCCCCAGCTCCCATGGAGTCACATGGACCAGCGGTCAAACCTGCTATCACTTCTATACCCAGCAGCAAGTTTCCAAGAGAACAGAGCTATGGGGCTAATTTTTTTTTTTTTTTTTTTGCTGCATTTGGCACAGCATGGGGCTCAAGAGGGAAATGACAAATTCTGTTTCTTAATAAGATCCAGAATCAAACTGTGAGGGACAAAGATACAGGGAAGGGAAATGCTAAGCCTATTATAACAATGTACAGTCACGCTAGAAAACATTAAGGTTGAAAATGCCCTTATCTGAGTGGTTATATTCTATACATATTAACTCTTGTTCATGCACTCCATGTATACAGTAGCACCTCTAAGAATGAGCACTCAAATGACCACCAGAAAGAGAATGGGAAGCCAGGTGCTAGCGTCCTGTCATCCTAACCACTCAGGAGGCTGAGATCTAACGATCACATTTTGAAGCCAGTCTGGGCAGCACAGTCCATGAGACTCATCTCCAATTAAATATCAAAAATCTGGAAGTGGACTAAGTTGGTAGAGGGCTAATCTTGAGCAAAAAGCTAAGGGACATTGCCCAGTCTAAGCCCCAGTACTGTCATAGAAAGAGGGGGTTGGAGGGGAAATGAGAGAGAGAAAGAGAGGAATGAGCAGATGCATTTTAGAATATGCATGTAATTGAGATAATATGCAACATTTAAAAATTAATAAAGAATTGTGCACATCAATATGGATAAATCTCACAAGTATGTCTCACAAGTATGTTTAGAGAAAAGGCAACTAAGTCTTTGGTTTGTGGTGATTAAATCTGAGTTACAGTAACTTTCCTAAACTACTGTAAAATAATAAAACTATTTTTAGAGTAATAAATTGGACATATAAAAGTGAAAAAAAGAAAAGGCAAGTCACAGAAGAATACATGCTTTCTGCTTTCATTCATATAAAATGCAAAGAAACTGGGAGATTAAACATGTGTTTGGTTAAAAAAAAGATTCATATGTTATACAGTGGATGATATGAATGGGGAATGTCCTCCCTC